TCTCTCTCTCTCTCTCTCTCTCTCTCTCTCATCCCCCCTCCCTCTCTCTCATTTCCTTGAAAGGAACTTTCCTCTCCTCTATTTTCCTAATGCAACTATTTATTTATTTACAGTTATTTATTTATATGCCATCTTTGTTACTTTTACAAATAACTTAAGATAGGAAATACTGTATATCTAAACATACTTTCCTCCTATTTTTTTACACAACAACCTTGTGAGGTGGAAATCATCTCCTAGCTTAGCATTTAAAACAATACTGGCAGCAGCACATGTGCTATCCTTGCATTAACTGAATTTGGGCTCGCATTAAATGCGCTGTGGTATCAATTTATAATTCTCACTAAATTGAATATCACACTATTTAAAATTGCACCAATCGCAACATATCTCTACAGTTTCTCCTGCTTTCCATTTCCTCTTCATAATAACAATGTGACTGGGAGAGCCATCTTATTACCCTTATTACTTTCTCATCCATGAAAACTCACTGAGTGACTTCAGGCCAGTTAAACCTCTTTTGTTTTAAAAGATGTTGTATTAAGTAATACATTTGCGCAGAATATTGAGCAATAATCATTATCAACATTCAGCTTTATATGCCAACCAGCAGCTTGTTATGATAGAAAATTTTATCTATCAGTTATTAGGGAGCAAAATTTCCAGAATATTATTTACAGTTTATACTAATGGATCAAATATGTATATATTAAGTACTCTCTTATAGAATTTGCACCCATCACTCACTCATTACCTGATCCCATGACCTTTTGAATAAACAGCTGGTTGACTTTGGGCCAGTCATTCTCTCTCAGCCCAACTCACAGGGTTTTTGTTCGAGGGAAAATAGGAAGAGAGAGGAGTATTATTTATGTCTTGAGTTACTTATAAAATAATGACGGTGGGATAAAAATTTAACAAATAAATAAGCAAGAAATCATCATTGTTAACATCATCATCCCTCTATTTCTCCTGAAAGATCACCTATGAAAATGAATGAACTATAAAACCTTATTTTAAAGCAACTTGCTTTTAATGCAGAGCAGGTGTCACATTATGCAAGTGAAAACAAAGCCCAGTTTTACTCAAAGCATGCTCACACACGTCATAACATGTCATTTGTTAAACTAAAATAACTTGCAGTTCCCGCCTTACATATATTAAAATTGTGAAATAGCTATTTGCACCAGTGGTGGGATTCAAAAAAAATTACTACTGGTTCTGTAGGCATGGCTTGATGGGTGTGGCATGGTTTGGTGGGCGTGGCTTGGTGGGCGTGGCAGAGGAAGGATACTGTAAAATCTTCATTCTGACCCCTCTCCAGGGAAAGACCCAGCCGATCAGCTGGGACTCGGGAGGCAGAGTATAGATGGGGGTGGGGGCCAGTCAGAAGTGGCCTTTGCTGGTTCTCCAAACTATTCAAAATTTCTACTACCGGTGGTCAGAACCTGCTGAATACCACCTGATTTCCACTCATTATGAATCACAGTTGCATTCAGTTAGAATATAAAATATTTTGAAGAGTTTTTTTCAGAAGGATTTTTTTTTTACCAATAAAATAAAATAAAATTAAGACCAGAGATGAACTTGTAGTAAATTACTAGCAGAAATAAATAAGCCGTAAAGCAAACAAGCAGTCTGGATAGGAAAAGTCTCTCCCTAGAAAGGAAAAGTAATATTTCTCTGGAGAGCACAATGGAGGACACCACTTTCTGCTGGTTTCTGCTGAATGTTGATATAACGGCCAAATTTGGTACAGTGCAAGGTTCTATTTACATAGCATAGTTGTTCTTTCAATCAATCAGAATAGAGCTAGAAGGGAGGCTTGGAGGTCTTGTAGTCCAACCCCCTGCTCAAGCAGGAGACCCTAGACCAGGGGTATCAAACTGAAGCCCTGGGGGCTGGATCCAGCCCATGGGGTGCTTAGATCTGGCCCACAGGGCTGCCCTGGAAATTGTGAAGGACTGGCCAGTGGTGCCTCTGCCAAGGAAAACTGAGCTCACAAGGGCCACACACGACTTTCTTGAGCTCCGTTTTCACTGCCAGAGGGTTGCAGGAGGCTGTCCCAGCTGAAAATGGAGCTCGCGAGGGCCAGGTATGGCCCCTCAAGCTCCATTTTCTCTAGCAGAGGATTTCAGGAAGACGTCAGAGCCTAAAACAGATCTCAGAAGCTGGTTTTTGCTGGCAAAGTGCTCGGGCCATCACAGGCACCCCTGACACAAGTGATGTCATGCTGGCCATGCCCACCCAGCCCCCTGAGGTCAAATGTGACCCTGATGCAGCCCTCAATGAAATCGAGTTTGACATCCCTGCCCCATACAATTTCAGACAAGTGACTGTCCAGTCTTTTCTTAAACCTCCAGTGATGAAGCACCCACAACTTCTGAAGGTAAGCTATTTCACTGGTTAATTGTCCTCACTGTTAGGAAGTTTCTCCTTAATTCCAGGTTGCTTCTCTCCTTGATTAGTTTCCATCCATTGTGTCTTGTCCTGCCCTCTGGTGCTTTGAAAAGTAAGTTGACCTCCCTTCCTCTTTGTGTCAACCTTTCAAACACAGGAATATTGCTATCATGTCATGCCTAATCCTTCTTTTCTCAAGACACCATACCCAGTTCCTGCAACTGTTCTTCATATGTGTTAGTCTCCAGGTCTTTAATCATCCTAGTTGCTCTTCTCAGCACTTTTTCCAAAGTCTCAACATCTTTTTTATAACATGGTGACCAAAATTAAATATAGTATTCCAGGTTTGCACCTTACTAAGGCTTTATAAAGCGGTACTAAATACTTCACATGATTTCGATTCTACGCCTCTGTTTATATAAGAATTGCATTAGCTTTTTTAGCTGTTGTCCCATGCTGCTGGGTCATATTTAAGAGATCATCCACTAGGACTCCAAGGTCCTTTTCACAGTTATTGCCTTTGAGCTAGGTTTCACTTAATCAGTACTCGTACCTTTGATTTTTCCTGCCTAAGTGTAAAACTTTGCTTTTCTCCACGTTTGCTCCCTCATTGGATGTTGGCCTTTCATTGGATGTATAGATGAGAACGTCACATGTGCGCCTTGTTCTTTAACTTTCTTTCCTAGCTGTTTGTAATCTGTTGATATTGTTTTTGGATTCATTGTTATGTCATTGGTTCCAAGATAAAGGAGAAGAAAGAGGTAATCCATGGGTTTGATTATTTTAGTACGGTTCTCAGCTACATCTTTGATTTTTGCTCTAGGGAGACAACATATCTCCATAGATTGACTGTTCGGTCTGCAGAGTATACTTTCTATTCCCCAAAGAATCGGATTTCCTATCAGCAATATTCACACTTTATCCTGAAGCTAAGAAAACAAACTGTTTCTTTTTTATTTCAAACAAGCTTGAGAAGGTTTGTCTTTTCTTCCTCTCACAGAGTATTTAAATTGTTGACAGACTGAGAAAAAGACAGATGCAGAGATGAATCTGTATCCACCTGCCAGGGTTATAAATAGGAGCAGGGATGGGCTCCTTAAGGCCGAGAGTGACATGGAAACCAGACACCTGTCCAATCTCTAGTGATTCATACCTAAGGCTTATCATCGTTTCTCAAACCCCACTTGCTTTTGCACCTGCCAGCACTTGAGTTATGGCCATTTCATATGGAGATATTAAATAGGTTCAGTCAGACTAGACTGGTGGAGAACAAATTGATGCTTGACTAGGGAATTAAGGCAGTTTTATTATGTACCCATTGGAGCAAACAAGTGTTATTTCAGAGATCACGTGAACACCAATAATTACATAGTCTTATTTAATTGTACTATTGATTAGATCTGCACAGATCTGCATAAGCATCTAATTATCTTTGACCCCACCCCCATGTCTAATATGTTAGTTCTCCAGTACCTCAATATTCATGCTTTTTCTGTTTTAGTTTCATCACTTGGTTTTTGACAATTGTTTGTTTCTATTCAATGGGGCCTTTTCACAACACTTATTGCCAAGAGTATTCTGGAAGAATATTGTGATATTTGGAAAAGCAGGTGGCAGCCATTAGCAGGAAGGCCTTAGCATAGTTTAATCTTATACGTCTGTTGTATCCATTCCTGGATCAGAGGGGCTGCTTATGGTTACTTATGATCTGGTGATCTCCAATAATCATTTTTCCGGGAAAGAAAATGATTATTTACTGGCATCTATTTAATTTAAACATTCACACAAACGCAACTCATAAATCTATACTCCTGCATATTGGAACAAGTGCATATATAGTTACTAGATTTTAGAGCAACCTCAAATAGCAGCACAATATCCCTTCTTTCACAACAATGTGCTGTGGCATGTGCTCATGCCCTATGCACTAATGATAACACCTAAGAGTCTTCAGATCTGCTTACTTATCTAGCAGAGCACTGTGTGTATGACACATAGACATGTTAAAGCGAAGCAGACACATATATGCATAGAGCAGCTGTATTTAAAAATAAGTAGTGGTTCAATAGCAAATTCTGCTTCATCAACCAATTTAAAAGTTAAATTATGAATTTGAAAGTAGAGTTCAGGGTCACCTGTTTTATGAGGTGCAGTTTAGCTTATAAACCCCCCAGTGGCTTGGTCAAACTGTTAAAATATGCTATTCAACATGCTTATGTATATATTGCCAGTTTTCCTGTTGTTTGCAGATCTTATTGTTTCTGATTTTTGTAATTGTCATTGGTAGGAACAATTTTCTGTAGAATTGTGTTTCCATTGCTGTGCTTTCCGCTCCCATTTCTGGGAATCACACAGACCCATGCTTATTCTAAAAAGAAATTTTAATTGCTGTTCTTCAGTTGACAGCCACCTGCCCTTCCATGATGACTGAAGACTACAGGCAGATCATACTTCAGAAGCATTCTTGGATAAGAATTCAATGTTTCCAAATGGGAAACTAAAGCCATCATACTATTTAAAAAATCTTCCAGAAATCCCATTTTGATTCACATTCATCAAACTATTCAAGATAATTTTTCTCATAAAACTTTATTGTATGGAATAAAACATAGAGAAAATAAATTAAGACTTCAATTATGTTTTAATTGGGATTTACAGAACTGAAAATTTCCAGCCATACACTGACCACAGGGATTTATTATTAGATTTCCCCTCCCAAAAGAATGCACGCCGACTTCATGGCAGACAATATGGAAAAAAGATTATTGGGCTTGACAGTTGGCGGTGAAGTCCTTCGCAGTTGCCTTGGCAAGTGTTTAATTGGTTGAGTGTAACAACTTTGGGATTCAGCAGATTTTCTTGCTGATGATTTCAAAAGGAAAGGTAGAGAGGCATAAATTATAGTCCACTTAAGTTCCAGGGTGACATTACTGAATGGAACAATGGTTTCCTAGATACAGATTTCAAGTAACTGATGATCGTGTTCTGTTAAAAAGCAAAAATGAGTTATAATCATAATTATAGGCAGAATTTGTATTTTTAACAGTAAAGAAAATAACTGTGTTTTTGCTCCTCTCTCAATCTTTGCTTAACTCTTTTAAATGTGTAGGAACTGAGGTTGATAACAATTTATTCGAGGCCACTTATAATAAGGTTGGAATCATCAAGGGGTATCATCCATGAAGTAAAGAAATGTGTAATAGATTAAAGCTGTAGCATTTGTATCACAGGAAGTTATTCACAATATAGTCTATATTGCCTGGCTGGCAGCCATTCTTTTAGGAATAGAGGAGATGGTTTCCTGCTGTAGGAACAACTTCTATTGTTTCCTTTCCCTGAACCCACCAGTTTTCATAAAAAAATTGGTAACTGATGCTTATGTTTGATTTCCCTCCCCACCTTATCCTTTCTTTCGTGTTATCCCTCTTAGCCTATAAGCCCGAGGAAAGGATTCTCTTGATCCTTGTTGACTTGTCAGCCACTTTGAAATTATTCTTGGCTGAAGAACAGAGTGAAAAGAGTACCAGAGACTGAATATAAGCTACTTTACTTCATCTTGACTTTAGTGAGAGACTTAAGAACTGCTATCAGTGGAATGTTACTTTGGCCACCTTGTGATCTATTCATTTACTTGTTGCATTTCTCTTACACCTTTCCTCCCCAAACCATCACCTTATCCAAGAGAGGCATGCTCAGAAAAGGGACTTACCAAATTATGTGTCTTGAAAAATCCATTTAGATAGACATGATGTGCCTCACAAATGCTGTGGAACAATACAGAATTAGTATACTATTATGAGAGAAGTCTCTGTGATAAAAATGGGCATGGATTAATTATCCTGCTCTTCTTGGTTTGCATTTTTCTATGTTGAGACTCTGTGTTTGGGTTGTTAATACACAATGACAAACTTTGGTGAACCTCCTTGCCTCCCTCCTGTGCATGAATAAAATTGTTGTCACTGCTTTATTATCTATGATAAAACTAACAGAACTAGGCAGATCAGAACAATCTGAACTAACAACATTCACTCCACTAATGATCCGCTAATATTTTAGAATAATAAAGCTACCCAGGTAAAAAAGATGTGATCATCCCCATTATCAAACTGTATGTTGGTATATGAAACTTGGTGTTTGGGATTTTTTTAGTCTAGGAAAAAAAGGTAGAACAATCATAGCCATCATGGATTTCTTTGAGGGCTGGATCAGCATTGTAGTTCTCCGTGAGCCAGCCAGAGAGGTGGGGGGAGATGGGATGGATGCACCCCCCGCAGGCCCTGTTTTGGCTAGCAGAGTGCTGCAGGAGGCCATCCAGGCCAAAAATGGGATGTGGGGGGGATGCACACGCACCTGACACCCCGTTTTGGCTGCCAGAAGCGCCATGGGCCAGTCTTTTGCTATTCCCAGACCAGTCCTTTGCTATTTCCCAGATTTAAGCATCCCACAGACCGGATTTGATCCGCAGGCCTTGAATTTGACACCCGTGTCTCCAGGAATCTGAACGTTCTTATAGTTGTATAGAAATGCCAGCAAAAGAATTACCAGTGTTCTGGGTACTTTATTCATGTAGGTTCTAGTCAACTCCATTCATTGTCCATCTTCATCTCACTCACTGAAAACTTTTGATGCATTTGTCCAAACCAGTTGTCCTTTCCTAACATTTTTTCTCTCCTTCCAATAATGTGACCTGTCTCCATAGCTATGCTGTCAGGTTTCCAAGTGATGAAATCCATTTAAAAAGAAAATAACAATGGCTATACATATGTCAATTTCAGGCTTGACATATGCTTTTCTTTTGGAAGCTACCTGCATGGTGTTTTCCCTTGATCGTTGTCTTTTAGCTGAAAGGAAGATGTTTCTCAAGATTTCTCCCCATGATTCCAGCAGACACATGACTGGTATGTTACTGACAGGGTGTTTGCCAATGTGCCATGTGAAGAAATTATGCAATTGTAGGGAAGGGTTTCATATGCACAAGGAAGAGTCCTGAACACAAAGTAAGATAGTATGGCAATCTTGTCAAGTAAACCTGGAACTTCTGTACTGAGTCTGACTAACTACTTTTTTTTCTCCTACTTTAACATCCTCTCACTTTCTTGTTAGCTCTGTTTTTTACCTCAGTTGAAAACCTGTCTGGCCAAGTACTATTAGTTTGCCTGAAGGGTGGGTGTAACCATAACACCCTTTATTTAGCATGCATTCAGAGAACTATATGATAACAAAGGAAATAATTCCAAGTTTGAGGAATTTGAATTGTAATCATGAATAATGGCCAGAACTCAATGTAATGTAATGTAATACAATATCATGTGTATATTACACACTAACACAGTTGAATTTCTACAATTGCATAATGTAAATATATATAAAAGCAGCAAAGTCATACTATTTATCATGAACTGAGAACACTGAAGCAGAGGTAGGAGCAATAATGCAATGCTAATCATAACCAAGATTATTCTTTCTTTAAAAAAAGAAGTACTACTTGCCAATCTCCAGCTATTTTTTAACTATTGGAAATAAAAGTCTACTGCAAATCTCTCTGAAGTATCTGATCTGCTTTATATTAAACTTCTAATGTTTTTTTTTAATCCATCAGAGAATAAAAAAGCTTTATTTACAATTAAATGAGTTGCTACTTTGTTTTGGTTTTCTGTATTTTCTTTGTCTTTCAGTGATATTAGCTGAATAATGTTTTATTATTGCATTTTCTTGTCAGAGTAGAAAAAAATTCACTGCCAAATATGCCAGCTACAGAAAATGACAATGCAGCTTGTTAGATCTGCAAGTCAAATGTTGTGAAAGACACATTGAAATTTGTTCTTCAACCTCCGACCTCCACTACTTCAGGTTTACAGGTTTTTTTAAAATTTTATTTGGCTTGTCAATTGCTTACAAGATAATAGGTATAAGTAAAAACATAGTTATGAATACATGGATACATATAAGAAAAATAAAAGAAACAATAGGATAGGGACGGTAGGCATGTTGGTGTGCTTATGCACGCCCCCTACAGACCTCTTAGGAAAGGGGTGAGGTCAATAGTTTATATTTCCCTGATACAGTGCACTACAGCAGAAAAGAAATAAAGGGTAATTTGTTATAACAAGAAATTCTTCAAGTAAGCATGATGTTGTACTTTTAAGTCACAAAATATTACTATCATCATGACAGGAACAAAATGGAGTCTGCTTTTGCTTTCCTCATACTAAATACATGTTGTTAGTTATAGGGCCCGGAATAGATAAATATTATATTTGTCTTAGATATTGAGAGGGGTAATTTATTTTTAAACTGAACTATGAAGATATTCAGAAGAAACAATAAAAGCCTCCATCTTCAGCCTCAGTGACTAAGATGCAATTTATTTGCCCCTTCTCTCATTTTGTGCTAGTCACAGGACATACGTTAAAGGTCTTTGTACCCTCCTCCACTCTGTTTTAGTTATACTATAGAATATCTGATCAAATTATCTAAACTGGAGAAGATGTTTCACCTCTCTTTTTTGCCCAGCTCTACAAGTAAAATCATCTTACCTTCCTTTTCCTTCACTTCCTGTCTTTCAATCTCAATCTCAGTCTCTCTCTCTCATGCACACACAATACACAAAGATTATCTTCCCCGTGTATTATACTATCTATTTTCCCTGGCCCTAATGGAGCACATCATGACGACTTTGAGAAGGCCTTTTCTTGAAAACAGAAATTGAATATTTCTTCAAGAAACCCCACTGGCTTCTTCCAAACACATCCATCTATCTTCTGCATACCCTTACCTTCATAGTTGATGCAGCCATTGGAGTCTTCCTGCCCTTTCATCAGTTCTTCTACTTCTTCTTCCTTCATCTTTTCACCTAAACATACAGAGAAAAGAGTATTAATAACACAGCTTCTTTTCCAGCTTGCAATCTCATAATATTTCCCTTTACTCACAAAAATAATATAATTAAATAGATGACATTTCCTCTGTTCCTTGTATAGTAAAATGAGCCAGTCTTTATTTTAGTATCTGGAATAAAATAGTAGGAGAAATACTGGAGTCTTAAAAGGCCATCATTACTGAATATTTCTCCACTACCTTCAATACTTCAATTCAGTGGGCTCCAAAGTTGGCCATGGCCTCATTCACTATAGTGTTGTAAAGGCCATCTTGAAGAGATATGTAGAAAGAAACAATCAGATAGTTTAAGCATGGGGAGATGTGACCATGTAAGGTAAAGCTGGAAGGTTAGCTAATAGATAAATGTTTGCATTAAATCTCAAGCAAGTATTAGTTGGCAACAAACAGTTTTCACCCTTGCTTCAAATCCAAGGAACCACATGGCTTCACTATTCACTGGGTGGAAGGCTGCCTATCAACATCCATCCCTGCCTCTTTTGCCCACACCTCTGCCCCCTGAAAAGCTTGGGAGGAGGGGAGGATATCCCTGATGGTACTGCCTGAAAAAATTAACAATTGAAGATCAAATTTTTTTTCTAAAAGATACATCTTGTTCCCCTTACTCCAAACTGAGTTACCATTTTCATAATGGGGACATTGATATTCTTTTGACCTAGCCAATTCCAAGTCATTGTGCCCTTCAGCAATTACTGGAGTAATTTGAGATCCTCATTTAGGGAAATAATAGCCATTCTATATCAATGTGGAGATATTATTCTACATTTAAACCAAGCACACAGAGAGAGAGAGTAGTTTGGGGACTGAATTCTCCAACAGCTGCATTCTAATTATGTTGGCCTTTTCCGAAAATAATTCAGAAATCAATTCCATTTGTATCCCTAAGGCAATTACAAGTGCTTGTGTAGTGAATATTTTTTCACAAAACTCTAAGCAAATATCATATTTTTTCCTCATTGAAAAAAATAGTTGGTGCAGGAAAAGGACAGGCAGAGCCACGAGGAGGTAGCTTAAAAAGGTATCAGTTTAGTCATTAGACAGCCACAAGTGAACTATGTACAACCTCCCTTTTGACTGCCATTGACCCTTATCTAAATCTAACCAGGTGCTGACCGTTAGTTGAGAAGATTCTTGTGCATAGGCTTTGAGCAATAAATCAGTTAATTTGAACCTTCACATGTGGACCTGATTTTTCATGCCTGACATTTGGACATTAATCAAATGATGATATTTTTGCACCAGTCTGCTGTTCTCCCGGATGAATGGTTTTCCCAGCAGCAAATGACAGGCAAAAACTGCAGCTATCCCATTTTTTCAAGAATGCCTGGGCAGATTGGTAGCCCAGTTTTCTTTGTAACTGTTGGATTTTACATTTGTTTGGCATTACCAAAATACGGTGTTTATTTATTTCCACAGCAGCCTATTTAGGGTTAGAGCCTCTAGAGATGGATTGTGGGAAGGAAATGGAAAAGATAAATTCATAGAAAATGCATGCCTGAAGCTGCCCCATGTTTGCCAGACTGCTCTATAGCCTCTCATGTCTGTGCCCCTCTACATTCACATGCTGAGAGCAAAATGTTAGCCCTCCTTTTTGAATTCAGAGGGCTCAGCCTAACCCTGTTAAGGACAAATATCTGACTTTAGGAGAGGGGAATGGTTTTTGCTATGATACCAACTTGGAAGTGTTTCACACAACTCACTGGCAGTCTTTCTAGGTACACCAGACCAGAAACATGACCAGATGAGCTAATTTTAATATAGAAAGCCACATTAACAGAATCTTGCAAGTCTGAAAGTACAAATCTCCCGGTGTCTCCTTTACATCCTGAAAAGTTGTGGTGGAGGTGTGTCCCTTCTGAGCCTCTTTCTTTACCCTTGTTCCTCTATGGACTATGCCCTCCTTTTTTCTGATTCTTCTTCAGCAGCATCTCTTCACCCTGTTTCTCAAAATCTTTCTCACATACAATTATACATCCTGATTTTTTTCAACTCGTTAAGCATGTTATATAAATAAACCCTTAGATTAAAATTACAGGGTCAGTTTAATTTGTTTGTTTTTTTCCTTTTAGTCTTACCCTTCATTAGAGAACTCTTTATTTTTATTCTGCTCTTGACTCAGTTAGGATCTTCTTTGAATTTAATGAAGGCTATGATGTTTAATTTCTAATGAAATTTATGTACAGTTCTCTTACATATAATTCCTCTCCCAGCACTTACCAAGAGTGGCGAGGACATGGCGGAGTTCAGCCCCCATGACTGTTCCATTGCCCTCTTTGTCGAAGACACGAAGACCTTCAACAAAGTCTTCAAAGCCACCTTGATCTTTATTATTGGCAGCTGCCTGCAACATGGGCAGGAACTCGTCAAACCCAATTTTCTTTGCATTCATCTCTGTGGAAGAATAACACAATCACTGTGTTGGTAAGTGCATGTTATGATATGTCTGTAACTCTTCTTATGAAATACCAAGTAGAGATTTACAGTAGATTAGTCCCACCAGCAGTGATATTATCCTGCTTTTGAAAATTAATTTAATTTAGAACGTCAAAGCTCTTGAGGAAAGAGAAACATCTAAGTATTTGCTTATGGCTATGGCTATCACCTCAGAAAGCTACTTTCACAGAAAATAGACAAGTTTGTACTCAATTAAAGTAGGGTGTTTTTTTAATAAAATTCTTAATTTCATAGTTGTCACCCACAGCTCTGTTTCCAGGTACATAGACAACAATTGCATTGCTAGCACAGAGGATATGTAAGTTGATTGAAATACACTGCAAAGAGGAGTGAGTTATGTAGGACGAGTAGTGGATATTTTATTTGATTAATACTGTATGTATGCATTCAGCAGATCTGTGGTGGGGTTATGTATTTTCTTTTCTTTTTGTATATTTGTGCAACACTGTCAAGCAGGTAAAATCATAGCTTCTGGTATGTCACTGACTCTTCTATAGTGATATTCTTATTTACTTGTATTAATAGTTCAGTATAATGTATTTCTTTTATATTTGTTTGTTTATTTATTTTAGAAAATTTATGTTACATGGTGACTCAAGGTGACTTACATGAATATAAGAATGTTACCTTTGTAACCTTCTTGGGACTCAAAACAAAATGCAGTAGATTGTTCGTTAATCTCCGATCCAATTATTGCTCAAACCCTGACCTAATTAATCTAAAAAGGCAACTATATCTTGTGTCTTCAGCCTCCGCCTTTGTCAGATGTTTCACTCTTCATCATTAAAGGTATGCAAAATTAAAAGAATGAAAATCTACCCGGATGATGCTCACTTGAAGAACTTGTTGAGTTAAAAATATTACAGCAATTTGTATGTCCTTCAGCATAAATACTGTTAATAAGAAAATCATTTATGTATTGTTTAAATTATAATTTAAGAGTATGTAAAAACCCAACACTGCAATACTTCTAAATGTCAATTAACTGCATTTCAAGCCTATCCCACTTACTTTCTTAGGCTTTCTCCTAAGAGTAACTTAGAGGAATTCAGCTCTACTTTGCCGAATAAAAAAAGATCTCTAAGCAATCTCTACATTTTCTAAGTTTTCTAGTTCCCTAATTTAGAGGGACAAATGGAGGAGTAGATAGCTGAATGCAAAGATACAAGTGTGTATGTGTGTATTTGCTTGTGTGATCAAGCTAGTCTTTCGGAAATCAATATACTAAATTTCAGACATTCATTTAACAGGAAAATCATTGGGAGGATATATTTTGATTAGGGTGGATCACAAAGAAGATTTACCCTCATTGCTGGGGTTGCCCAGGATCTTCTTGACTTCAGCATTCGTTGGGTTCTGTCCAAGAGCGCGGATGACATCTCCAACTTGGCTTAGAGTGATTTTGCTTTCCCCGGTCCTGTCAAACAGGAGGAATGCCTCCTTGAAGTCTATAGAGAATAGAACATTGGACTTACTAGAGGAAAACACTGAATCCATAAAGTAGCTATAAGCAATGTTTTTTTTTAAATAAAAATCCCGGCATGTTGAAAGTGCAAAAAGAAAGAGGGTACTTTTTATCATATGTGGTGGTCTTGTTCAGAAGGCCAGAAGTACTGGCTTAAAATTAAAAAATGGTTGCAAGAGATCCTTAAGGGACAAATAGAATTGGAACCAGAATTATTCTTGTTAGGGATATTTAAAAAGAAATGTGGAAAAAATATAAAATATATAATATTACACATTTTAATGGCTGCTAGAATTGCATACACTCAATGTTGGAAGCACAATTATACACCATCAGATGAACTGATCATTCAAAAAATAATGATGTGTGCTGAGATGGATAAATTAACCCTGATTTTACGAGAGAAAGAAAACTCTGAATATTATAGAATTTGGGAAAAATGGTATGATTGGATTGAATTAAGACAAATGGATGATGAAAGAATTAATGATAAGCAACCTATAGATTAAAGGTTTACATTCACATAAATTGTATATATTTGCAAATAAGCACAAAATAGAACTTTATGAAATAGATGTCACATACTGTTAATGTCATAATATGTATATTTTTTGGTTCGGTTTTTAAAGATACAAAAGACTAATAAGTTTATTTTAAAAAAATCCAGATTCTCTGCCACCACATCCAGTGGCATCATATTTCAATAATTTTACCTGCAATCTTAATGTTTTGTTTTGTGTGGTATTTTTCTGTTCACTCTCTCTTCCCCCTCCTTTCTCCCTTTTTTTCCCTTTAGGAGCTAAAGAAGTCTCTTAGCTGGGACACAAAAATGATAAGAAGGTTGTCATTTTCAAGAAAAATGGGTTGGATGATTGAACTAATATGGTCAGTGAAACATTAAATGATAGCATATCCATGGTAATCTATGTTAATTCTTCTGTAAACCTTTTCCTTGTTTCTCTCTATAAGCAATTATGTGATTTGGAGTCCTTTTGAATTCATAAAGTAATATTTAAGTAATTTCACATATAACCTCAATTACTTAAATTAATTAAGCACTACTTAATATTGCTTTACCAATAGGCAGTGGTGGGATTCAAATTATTTTACCACCGGTTTGGTAGGTGTGGCTTGTTAGGTGTGCTTTGTGCGCATTGCACGTATGCACAGCAAACACACACCTTGCACGTGTGCAGAGGCTTTCCTACTGACCTTCTCCTGCACTCCTGCATTCTCCCTGTGCCTTCAACAGCTGACGCATGGCAATCCGCTGTGCCACGCGATGCAGCTGAGCTTCAAAAGCAGAAAATAAAGGGTAGTATGGAGCCAGGGCAGGCAGGCAGGCCCAGCAGCTGATCGTCAGAGCAAACCAGTTTGCTCCCAGATGATCTTTGGAGCTACCGGTTCGCGTGAACTGGGCCGAACCGGTAGAATCCCAGCCCACCAAGAGATATCTGATATTTTTAGACCGATGCAACTATAAAGCTTTGAGCTCAGTGGCAAACTGCGCCTCAGTGTGGAAATGCTAAATATCATTATTTATGTAAATAATGAGAGATAAATTTTAGAACAAAATGTCAAAAAGAGAGTTTAGGATTTGATCCATGGATATTTCTGAGAAGTATTAGCTCTATAAAGAATTGTTTCTATGTTGAAGTCTTTGGGTATTGCTTTTATAAAAAAAGATCTAAAATGCTGTTTTTTTACATCTTCTATATAATGACTTCCTTTGCCTAGAAATGAAATCCAATCAGAACACAATCATGAGTAATTCAGAAGTCATTTTCCCATCAACCAAGTTCCTGTCACTATCATCAACAATTTTATCAGGTTTGCGATATTCCAGATATCACTTTGTGTTAAATTCACTTATCTTAATGAGGTTCAGTTTGATCATTTCTAGATTAGTAAAGTGAGTGCAGCTGGTCCTTGACTTACAATCACAATTGAACCCAAAACTTCTATTGCTATGCAAGCCAGTTGTTAAGTGAGTTTTCCCCCACTTTACAACCTTTCTTGCCATAGTTGTTAAGTGAATCACTGCAGTTGTTAAATTAATATCACAGTTGTTAAATGAACTTGGCTTCTTCGTTGACTTTGCTTGTCAGAAGTTCGCAAAAAGTGATCCCATGACCTTGGGATACTGCAACAGTCATAAATGCATGCCAGTTGCCGAATATTCAAATGTTGATCATGTGAACATAAGGATGCTGAAACAGTCTTAAAGTCATGCCACTTTTTTAGTACGGTTGTAACTTCAAACAGTCACTAAATGAATGATTGTAAGTCAAGGACTACCTGTACAGTATTTGATTTTTGGAATAATAATAATATACTGTATTAACTATGCCATTGTTGCATATGCATTATTTTTCAAACTAACTAACATTTTTGTAAATTCACGGTAAAACTGAATATAATTCCCATTCCTGCTAAGGTCTTCAAACATTAGAGTGCTTCCATGTTAAAATATAAAATCATTTGTGTCTGCTCCAATTCTGAATGACACGGTAAATGGCAAATCTCAGTAAGAAGTACGTGATGATGCTGATCACACAGTTGCCTTTAAAGGCTTGCAAACCAAGTTTTGCTATTACCGGTGGTATATTTTGTGGACCCAGCCAATGATTTTCAACTGCAGTGGTGCATATATTTATTAAACATTTAAATAGAAATATATAAAAACACTTTCTAAATCACGTGTGTCTTCAGGAAGGAAGAAAGGAGATGATTATTTATGTAACGGAGACAAAAGAAAATGAGAGATGAGTATATCCTTATCATTCACAAATCTAAACACTGTTTTCCAGTGTGGAGTTTATCACTTAGAGATGTGAAAACTCTCTTCATGTAGAGCAGCTGCATTGCCAAAGCCACATTTGAGCTCCACTCTGACACCTGATTCCTAATGAGACTACTCATTTTCCCACCTCCTTTTTCTAAAGGACAGAACTTCTGAACTGGATTTCAGAAAAATAGATGTGGCCATGACCAGGCATCTAGCCCTCCCACATGTGTCTGAAGCAGCTTCTCCCATGAATTTCATAATCCTATGAAAAGGGCAGAGTCTTCCCGATCTGGTGTGGGATAAACTCATTCAACTATTCGAACAGTTAATGGCTTGTCATACAGCTGCCACCTGGAAATGCCAGGCATTGGATATTGATCGTAAAGATAGAAAGAATCACTGAAACAAAAGATATAGGATTAATATTGATTCAGTTGGGTTAGTATACGATCAAGTATGCAGTCTGCATTAATTTTTCCTAGATGCTTTGTGCTGCTATTTTAGGGTTTACTCTAGCCCTTCTTATTACACTGTGCAAAGGAGCTTCTTTGCCCTCTTCTAAATTGCTGAGATAGGACATATGGCTCCTAGACTGTAACTCAATATATTTGATATTAATCCTATCTCTATCTGATGTGTGGGGCCTATGAAGTCTCCTGTTCCAAGATCCTCTCTTCTTACAGCTTATAAAAAGTTGGCCTTTTAGAGATGTAGAAGGAAAGCTACTACATACTTCAAGGTTTATATAGTAGTTATTTGCTGGATATCAAGAACAGAACTACCCTCATTACTATCATTGGAAAATCTAATCACCAGTATCTCTCTGTCTAGTAAATGTAAACACCACTATAATACTATTAACAATAGCCAGTAAACATATATAGTGAGAAAAAAACTTGAAAATGTCTGCAAGCCAGCCTCCTTATTGTGCATATAGTGGGTTGTTACTGTATAGCAGGCAGAATAAATGATATTTAAGCATATTCTGACACTTTAAAAATATATTTGCTATTGTTGTAGTTTGTTATCAGAATAATCATCACAGCAAAACAGATGGCCATTCATAAAATATTTGCTCAATCATTTTTCTCTGCTTTACACTAAGATATTGCAGCACAGATTATTCTCCCTTTACCCTCCATGAAGCTTAAGTTTCCATGAAGTTAAAATATTGCTTTTACAGGTGACAGAATTAATGTTGTTTAGAAACAGAGCTTAATTCTAAACTTTCAACAATAAAAACAAACATGATCTAGAAGTAAATATTCTTAGCGTTTCTCCACTTTTTAATTTTTTTCTTAAAGTAAGAAATTGATTACAAAAATGGCAACTGATCATTTACAACTGATCATTGTAATCTGAATAGGGATAATAATCTATTATAAATGCTCACTTACTAAATTATGTTCCTAAAAATCCTTCTCATTCATCACACTTCACTTGATATTGACTTAAAAGTTAATACAAATTGGCCCAGTAAATTCATGCTAATGAACTAAAAAGGAAGGCTTTAACCTGAGTATACTTTGTAGCAGTACAGATTTTGTAAGCAAATGCATATGTGTATATTAATTGTAATAAAGGCATATTAAGGTGAAATAAAGGTAAAATCATTAATTTTACTACAACAACATGACCATACATATTATACAGAAATTAGTAATGACTCTATATATGTTGCCTGCTGCTGTTAAATTGAAAGCTGGAAGACCATTTGTTGTTGTTGTTGTTATTGTTATTATTATTTATCTAAGCATTATGTTTGGCAACACAATTTATTTGGAAAAGTATTTCTACAAAAGTGCATTTGATGGAAGAGTAATGTTGCAATATTACATTGAAATCTGTTTGAGCAAATACTCTTAGGATGGCAGCATTAATGGTAAAAAAGATGTCTTGCTTTTGACTGAATATTATATCCCTGAATAGAAATAAATCTGCTCTAGAGCTAGTGATTAAAATTAAGCTTTAAAGCAAATGTGGCTTCATAAAACAGAACAAAATTTTTATTTTGAGAAAAAGTATCACCAGAATTAGGAAACTATGCAACAGTTCTGTTACATGAATGAAAAAAGCATTCCAAACCAGTCCTTATTTATGAAAATTCATGTTATATCTTAAAAATTAGATGGAGGGAAGTTATACTTTTTCTCCAGTTATACACCGTTCTTTTCTAAATATTCACAAGTAAGAAATTATGTATAGTACATTTTTCATATATTTAGTGTATAGCATGCTAGAAAAAAAGGGTTTGCCTTTCTTGGCTTTGCTAACTTTATTCCCTCCACTGTCTCATCTTGGGAAGAACTATGAGGAGAGTCGAATGACAGGTTTGGTGAATCCAAATCAATAAAATTCCCTATTTATACCAATGCACACTTTCTAATAGTACTTTATGTGAAAATGTGTCTGCCTCTGTTTATGCATTTTTCCTGAGAACTCACCATCCTGTTGATCCTTGGAGAATTCGATCTGTTAGAAAAAAATTAATCATATGACAAAAATAATTTTTGGAATTCATAGCATCCAGCTTGCTCCATGAAACATCTTTCCAAGATGCAAAGAAAAGGACAGGTTTTTCTTACAATATCTGAGATACTACTAAACTGCTAATGAAATAATACATTCATAAGCCAATGAGCATGCAACATTTGTTATCACAATATTAAATTGCAATAATATTCAATAATGTTCCACTTACCAGCAATTTGATCAGCACTGAAAGACTGCATTTGGCAACAAGGAGGGAAAAAAAGGAAAATACTAGTATTGTTGGAAAAAATTGCACTGACAGACAAAAACTATACATATCCTATAGCTGATGGCTACATTCAAGAAGTAGCAGGCCAAGGATGCACTCTACTCATGACAAAAAGATCGGTGTTACATCTTTCTATATGTAGTGAGAAGCATGGAAATGGAATATCAATATGGTATGATACATATTACAAATCAAATAAATTGCTGCTTTCCATTAGTGAACACAAGGTAAGAAGCAGCAGCATTACATTGAAAAGAACTATGAAAGTAGTCTTAGGGAAGTACAAACTTATATTTACTTGTAGCAATAAGTCCCATTTAATTAAATGAGATTTACTTTTTTGCAGACATCCACAGGTCCTTTTAGATAAAGATTTATCTGCTCTTTCAGCTCTATATAAAATAGCTTGCTTTTATGATGGTTCACTGGGATTCTTACACACAATAATTTTAATACATCTGAGTTATTATCAGCAACTTGCTATAAGGTTGTGGGAAATGTGCAAACTAATGAATGAATCAATTCCTAAATAACCCCAATACAATACATAAATGTAACTGTAATGTACACACAATTTGTATGTTACACATCTACCCATTTCAGCCTGATTTTGTTGGGCATTGCCCCATTAAAAATCTCACTAAATTGATTTCTGGACTGCCTTATTACAACTAGCACAATGTTGGAAATTATAATGTTACATTAAGTCATTAGCTAAGCAGAACTTAATTTCCTTGCAAACCCACCATGACTGAGAAAGCTGGAAGGGAAGAGGAGCAGGAGCAGCACTGCCGTCAGACTTAGCCGCGAGGCGTCTGAATCCCTGGGAGTGGTCCTTACTCCCTGTGCTTAGATCTTTTTATTGAACTGAAGACAGTGACATCAGTGGGAGGATTGGGTGCCAAACTGGAGCAGCCACTCCCCCTTGGAGAGTTCTTTAGCTTTCTTAGGGCAAAGAGAAGGAAGGATCCATTTCTTGATGGACCTCTGGCATAGACTATTTTTAGGACACTGCAGAGAAGATAGGGCGCTGTTCACAGTTTCACAGGGCTGGAATCTTGTCAGCATTTTATCACTCCACAACATAAATGTGGAACACATCTTGAGTAGTCTACCTCTTTATTTAAGGGGCTACTGAGTGAACCGGAGAGATAATAGATTGGCAGTTTGGTTTGACTTTTAATATTTGTATTCAATATTGAATTGGATATGTTTATTCTGGAGAACTGAAATATTGACCAGCGCTATAACAGCACTCTTCGATGCCCAAAGGGCTGTGACTTAATAGTTTTGCTGCCTTGGAAGACTAGTGCATTTAAAGGGATGAATATGGGGAACCATGTTTAGAAAGAACATGGAGAAGGAACAATTTGATAGTGGATACCCATTTCCTTGATTGCTCCTACTCTTCCCCATACCAAAGGTCTGTCAGTCCTTCCTAAAATGGACTTGAGCTATGTGTATAGGGCCATATAAAGACTTCCCCAAGTCTCATTGACTTCCCTCTCACCTTCATCCCCAAATAGAATCATACCTGTAGAAAGCACAAGAGGTTTCTTGGTGGACTAATCTAAAGACTGGTCATTGTGGTTGGTCATCTGGGACAAAACCTAGTAGGTTCTCAGGCCTTCTCTTTAGAAACATGAAGTTGAATTTCTGGGCTAAATTTGAACACAATATGAGTACTGCATGCTTATTTTATCAATCAAGTGGAATGGAGTGACAAGAGCTGGTATTTACTCCGAAAGCAAACACTAGTCTGGTTCTAGTATGGTAAAAAATCATGTCAAATGAGGTTTTGTTCAAAATATATGCATTTTATTGATGGATGGATGCATTTTATTAATGCACAGCTTAATTTTAATCATAGGTGAGAAATTTACAGGTGATAGATCTAATCTTTGCAATGGCTTGCTGGATTAGAAAAGCAACATGAGAAAGCAATTGGTTCCTAGTGTATTAGGCCACATTAGAAGCACTATGTGTAAAGTAACAGAAATCTAATCCTCACTCTAAGCCCTTTTGTTTTAAAAACAAACTTCCCACATATTTTCAGGAATTAGGCAAAACAGCAATAGCACTTTGCTTCATCATTCCTACATCCCATTCCCGTATTTGAATAGATGTGTGAAATGTTAACAGTTGACTAAATACGCATTCTTATTGGGACATAATGCCAAGCTCCAGTATCAGTGATAAACATAGAACTAACGTTGGTTATATGTTGCATTTAGCTCCCAGTATAGGCATAGAATAACAGAGTTGAAAAGGACCTTGGAGATCATGTAGTCCAACCCCCTGCTCGAGCAGGAGAGTCTATTTCACATATTAGCCTCTACCTAGGATCAAACTCACAGCCTCCTGATTGTGATTTTAATCCTTTCATGTCTAAATGCATACACAATGCCTGGCATTAATTAGGAAACTATAGCATGGTTTACCATGTAATATGAATATGCCTATATTCTTTATGTATGGAATTCTTTATATGTATCCCCAAGCAATGCAAGAATTGGCTTAATGGAATTAAATTAAGGCTCCCCATTTTTCCTAGGATCCGGCTGAAAAAGCACACATTAATGATGTTTATGTTATCTATAAAATCAAATATGCAAATTGAGTAATTATTTCCAGTTTCAAAATAGATCATTTTAGATCTGGGTAAGCAAACCTAAGGGGTATGCTTTCAGTTTGGCAAGTTTTGGAGTTCCACAAAATGAAACAGGCTCTTGGCAAGAAACCCACATCAAACCCAGAGCATCATGACACTCCAAGAGCAATTTGGTGACAGGTAGGAGGAATATCTACAGGTAGTATCTACAGCATCCCTAAAGCTTTGAATTCTCCAAGATAGGTCTGGAAGGAATATGTTAGGTGATTGACACATCTATCTTCCTAATTCTGAAGAGTGTGAAAAATTAAACTTTTTAAAAGGTACAGACTCTTTAAAAACTAATTATTAGTTTTTCTAATCAAGTCTTCAACTTATTTTTCTTACACTGATGAGGATTCGTTGAGAATTACTTGAATCTCCAAACTTCAAACCTTTCCATGAAAACTAAACACACTTTTGATGGTTTTCCAAGCTCATCATTAGGAGTCTGAAATTCTTCATTTCCCAAATCTGACTTCTGACATATATCATGCAAAAGTTGGGAACTGACATGTATCATTTAAAGTAAAAGTTCAAAGATAAACAGAAGCAGTAACAAAGATTGTCAAGTCTAATTTTCTAGGCAGAGTGCCTTTCAGTATAAATATTGTATTTCAAAATAAGTTAAGTCCATTTGACTACTTGTCACACTTCTCTTGCAGATTCTGTCACATGGGATTTGGTATTCTTATGGCTCCAAGTATTCTTCCAGAAAGAAATCAGGCATAGGAACTAGAAGCAAAATATTTCCTTTTAAACAATTTACTTACATTGCTTTTGTCAGTCTTGAAAATTTCCAGAAGCTATCAATTAGTAGCTTGTATGTCTAGTACTTGAACATGGAGAGGCAGACCAAGCGTTAAAGAAAACCATTTTCACTAATGTTCCATTTTATTAATAATCATTTAAAAGGATGCTAAGAATTGACTGAGAAAAAATAAACCTTAACTTAAACAGATTCATTTACTTTTTTACAAAATCATTTTTGGTTGCCACAGTAACAAACAGAATGTTAAACAGAAGCTGTTTAAAATAAACCAAAAAGGCCTTTGCTTTCTCTAATGCACAGTGACTTATAATCACAAAATATCACATTTATAGAGGAAGAACAGAATGTTCATCATCCCTATTCTGGCTAACACATTTTATATTACAATCCTCATTTTATTCTATCATGAGTTAATTAATGAATTCAGCAACAATAATAGCTATTAATGAATGGGGGAGGAGCAATATTTGGAGAATTTTGTGCCAAGTAAATAATTAATTACGAAGTTTTTTATGTGCTGAGTCACAGGATAAGATCTCCACCATAGGAAGGAAGGAAGGAAGGAAGGAAGGAAGGAAGGAAGGAAGGAAGG